TTCTCTACTGTCATATGAACTGTACAACACAAAATTTTTAACCGTTGTTTTTTACGGTGCTGTAATAGTATAACAAAGTATACCATATAATGTTTAACTACTGTTTACTACTGTTCTGCAATAGTATAAAAAATATATACCATACAATGTTTAACTGCACGTTTCTACTGTTTTATAACAGTATCTAAATGGTATACTGTAGAATGTTTAACCACTATTTTCTACAGTGATATAAGCGTAAAATAAGATTATACCATAGAATGTTAACCACAGTTTGCTATTGTGCTGTAGTAGTATAAAAACCATAGAATTTCTAACCACTGTATTCTACTGTGCTGTAATAGGACAAAAATGCTATTCCCAATAATCACTGTTTATTACTGTTCTGTAACAGGTTAATTCTACGGTATACCAGAATGTGTTTAACTGCTGTGCTGTAATAGGACAAAAATGCTATTTCCAAGAATACTTAATCACTGTTCTGTAACAGGTTAATTCTACGGTATACCAGAATGTGTTTAACTGCTGTACTGTAATGGGTTTAGGAAGATATATCTTAGAACGTTTAACCACTCTCTTCTTTTGATCTGTGTTTCCCTGATATCTGAACTACACAACGATTGTTTTCTTCTGATTTCAGTGTTTTCTAATTGCATTTATAACACACAGTTTCTAAATATTGTTTCCTACGGTATACATATATAGTTGATCTGTATTACTATTTAATATTTATCTGTTCCTTATGGTATATCAAGGATATATTATATATATATATGTTTCTGTTTTCTTTAATTAATGGGATATATAGGATATACTATATATGATTTAGCTGTTTTTAAATTAATAGGATATAAATGATATACTATATATGTTTTAGCTATTTTTAATTAATGGGATATAAAGGATATATTAGATATATGTTTTTGTTTTTTAATTAATGGGATATATAGAATATAATATATATGTTTTAGCTGTTTTTTAATTGATTGGATATAAAGGATATACCATATAATTTCTAACTGTTTTCTAGTGGGATATGAAAAATATACAATAGTTTTCATCGGCTATTTTACAGGAAATGACGGGTTTGTTATAAAGTTTTATATCTCTTCTAATGATATGTGAAAAATTTATCGTATAGGTTTTGTTTTGTTCTTTTTTAGTTGAGTATGAAGGAAACATGAAGGTTATACGATATAGTTTTTAGTTTTATCTGGTTTTTCATGGTAGATGAAGGATATACCAGATAATTTTATTTAGTTTTTGATGGAATATGAAGGATATACCATATGGTTTTATTTGGTTTTTATGGAACATGAAGGATATACCATGTATTTTTGTCTGGTTTTGATGGAACATGAAGGATATTGGACATAGTTTTATCTGGCTTTTGATGGCACATGAAGGATATACGATGTAGTTTTATCTGGCTTTTGATGGAACATGAAGGATATACGACATAGTTTTATCTGGCTTTTGATGGAACATGAAGGATATACGACATAGTTTTATCTGGTTTTTGATGGAACATGAAGGATGTGGAAGGTATACCACATATTTCAAATTATTTTCTAATCGGATATGACAGATAAACCAGAAATAAGTTTTTTTCTGTCTTATAAATGATATCAAGAGCTTACTAGGTAATATTTTATATATTTTGTAATGGGGTATGAAGGGTATACCATACATGTTTCATCTGATTTAATGGGACATGAGGAATATAGTTATAATTGTTTAACTGTGTTCTCTTGTAGTATACAATGGTGTGATCGAGCTTAAACTGTTCATAAGCTTACTTTAAAATAAACTTAGGAAAGTAAGGTGCTGGTGATTAACGAAAATCTTCGAGTTTCATCAGTCTTGGTTGACAAGGGATACAAGTGGGTCTTAGGCAACATGAGGTTTTCCTCTGTATACTTGTTTGTTATTTTTGAATTATTCACCCTTGCAAGTGTGCGCCTGCGTGGTGTTTCTGACAAATGTCATCACGAATTGCCTTCATTAGAACTGTTTGTCATTAATTTCCTCTTGGTATTGATGACCTAATATAAGAAAAGATCTTTCGTGTTAAACTGAACCAAATACTGGAAACCAATAATTTATTTAATTCTTTCTCATATAAATTTTTTCGAGAAGTCCTTGAATTTTGAGACACTGTTGTAAGCCCTTAGGTTTATATTTTTCAGGTCATGAACCATTCAAAGTTCATAAACGCCTACTTTAATTCGTATCTTTCTATACACAATCTATACGTTATACGAAAGTGAAATTCAGAACTTCTTTCATTGCCATTACCTTTCGTTTCATGACTTTCGGATTTTAAAAAGATATGGCGTGTTTTTAATATTCTAGCCTTACCTCTATACCTATTACACCTAGGCTATCAAATGACGTCACACGATCTTTCAGTGATGCCAGCTGGGTTTATCGATAATATATTGGTAAATAATTTTGTTTTGTTTTCTATGTCGTTATTTTGCTGGATTTTTTGTATATATATATA